CCCCCCCCCCCCCCCCCCCCCCTACCCGCTCCGAAATTCACTCTCTACAAAAGTCGAAGGTCCAGACAAATCAGCACTCGCTCGCTTGCAAATTTGTCAATGGCTCCTTCATTTGAGGATTGTTTGCAAACAAAGCCGGAAACAGACCACTCCGAAATTTGTGCATTTTACAATGCAACTTCCAAAATATACCGATATCGCAGGACCACAGGAAGCACAGACGAGTATTCCAGGCGATTGTCTCGTACGGTGTAATTGCAGGGTTGGAGCATTTTGTCCTGTGTACCGTGAAAGTACAGTTATCAGCAGGACTGCTCAAGTTTCGACCGCCATAAACCGTGAGTTCGTCGAGTTTGAGATGTACTTCACTGTTGATCAGATCGTTGTATTCGTCGTATTGCGCCGTGATTGCCAGCTATAAGGAAATGATAAGTTGTTATCAGCTCTTTTCTTAAAAAATACGACTACGGCAGTCTACGATTCAGTGGTAAATTGGTACCGGTATATGCCAGGGAGTCAAACTCGTGGTAAGCTTGCTTGTATGTAAACCCGTCATCAGCTTGCTTGAGGCCATCGAAAACCCTGTCAACGAGTGGTTGCAGTTAGCATTTGCTACCATTCAGGCTATTTCCACAGTGACCTATCTCTCATAGAGGGCGAATTAGCAGGGAGTTTTGACTTTGACAACTTGATAAGTTCTGAATCAAGCAGAACCTGCTTACAGAGTCTGCAAATAATTTAGGAGTATCGTCCATGGATTTTCGAAAATTCTTGCTTTTTATAAAGCCGATTTCCGCATTGCTCAATTGATGTGGAAAAGATTGAAAATGCCGATTATTTCGCCTCTTCAAAAGTCCTGGAAATCCATCCGTCCTACAAAGGCACAATGCTACTTTTAATGCGAGTGTATCTAATTCTAAAGTTTCTTTTATACAAAGCACTAGCCTAGGAAGTTGCAGAAGATAAGATTTTTCTAGTAAAAATTAAAATTTTAAAAACACATGCATTCAGCACTACATGGTACTTGAACTTTTTTTAAGCTTCCTTCTTTAAGCGGTTTTCGGACCAGAGAAGTATCATGTGTCATTTTTTTGGCAAATTCTTATCACTCAAGCTATTTTCAAGTGCCCCCAGCTCTCATATGATATGAATCTCCACTTCTAGAAATAATGGAGTTTCAACTTTTAGTTTAGCTAAATCAGCTCAAAAAGCTGACTTGAGGAAGCAAAGACATGATCGAAAACCTAGCTAAAGTGCGAAAATTAGCTTCACAAACGTCAAAAATTCGTCCGAATTCGCAATTCCAAACAGGTGGAGGCACGGGGGAAAAAATTGCCCAATTGATAACAGATGCCAATAGCAACCATCCGCTGATAAATCTGACAATATCTGCAACTTCTGAGAGTTGTTTACCAGCAGATCTAACTACTTGGCATATGCTAATACCAATTTACCATCGAAACAAATCGTCGAATCGAAGAGGGACTGGTTTTGCAACTAGCATAAAAGTGAGGGAAAAAAGAAAAGTTTTATTATTTTGCAAAATATAAACTCACCATAAATGTGCTAAACAAAGCAATTTGCAAATAATAATGGTGCATTTTTGCGAGCCGTTCTAACAGTAGGTTGTTGGCTAATAACAGATCTGGAACGGCCGCCGAGGCGACAATAATGAATGTTTTTTGGAAAAATTTGTCGCATAACATCGATTTAAAGAAAAAGCCGAGAAATTGTCGAAATCCCGTCCCACAATCCCCCGGGAATGTTGAGAGTTGACCGATTAAGTAACCATCAACGACACATGCATCAATCATTCGTCCACTCTATCTCGTTTATTTTGGACAAAAAAAGAGTTCCGAGTCAATTTTTGCTTTTTTTATGAGCTGATTAATAATCTTTTAAAATTTTTAAAAATAACACTCTTCTTTGATTGTATACTACCAAGGGCAAAAAAAAAGAAATTCCAGCCGAATAAATTAAGTTTGTTTTAATCAACAAGAAATGAGACAGGGGGAAAAAGTTATTCGCTATTTTGACGAAAATCCATCGATACTTTTTATCCTTATTTTTACGTTGCACTTGATTTTTGTTTAGCTTAGAATATTTGATTCTAGCTTTAGAATTCTTGATTTTTTAATGCGATGCTTTAGTACACTTATTCATCAAAAGGGCATGTATACAAATATATGTTTAAATACATACATATATGTATAAATAGTCGCATCCAGTACGGACACCTGGAACTATGCAAAAACTAGGAATCGAGTTGTAACACTGCTACTTGGAGTTACTTAAGTTTTATTCATGAACAGACCCGGGCTTTTACAGCACTGATGCTTTGGGGGCGGGGTGAAAGACTCCTCCCCCCTCCCCCCCTCTCTCTTTCCTTCTTGGATCCGCCTATGTATGTATATATACCGTAGTGTATGTACTTGCGCCACTGGGGGCGGGGCGAACGACCCCTCCCCCCTTTTCTGGACCCGCCCAAATATGTATAGTGTGTGCGTATATGAATTTCTTATGCTGAGCAAGAATTTTGAGGCCGTGCCAAATCTCGTAAATTTTGTGCGCGATATGTGAAATTTTACTTTGAACGAATGAAAATCAGGTATACTGTACAAGACCGCGATTTTCGCATCTCGCACCCCAAACCCATTGAATGGCCGAGCCGAGTTTTAGCAACCTGGTGTTTTTAAACTTTTAAAAGTTCTGACAAGATTTAACGCCCTGGGCCGCGTTTTTGTAGTGGTTGAGGTGACATGGCATCAATTTATTGGACTCTCATTGGTGCAGTGCTGTGATTTGTGTGTGATGGATGCTGGTGGGGTGATTGCGGTTCTGTTCTGGTTTTCTTAAACCGAGTGGGCGGTCTTCTTCTGGTTTTCCTCAAAATAAGGTTGTTTGGAGAGCAAAAAAAAGAAACTAGAACCTGAAGATGAGGAGGAGTGCTTTTATACACCGGTGACCACAGGTCACAAAGATTGCATAGCTCTAAAGGGAGTAGTAGGATGTCCAAAGATTGAACCAGGGGTGTTCCAACATAACGATGCAATGGCTCTATACGCAATTTTTAACATAAAGCAATAAATCATTATGTGACAATTCATTATGCGACAGAAGTTTTTGGCTTGTTCCTCTTAATCAATTTGTAATGTCCTTGGTGTACCGGGTAT